ACAGAACTGTGTATTTAAAAACTTGATTTTTTACTGTTACAGACAGGAAAACTGATTCTGAAACCCAGGCCTCATGTTCAGTGACAGTCTGCAGTCACTGCCGGGACCTACAGCAGCCTTTCTTCGGAGAAGCGGCACAGCCGAGCCATCAGGGTTCCCGTGCCGTTGGATGTGGACGGTCAGAGCCACAGCCGACAGGACGTGTGCAATATTTACCCAGAGAGCTTGACGGTGGGACTCCCAGGAGCAGCGCTGGTACCGCGGGCTGTTTGCGTATCAGTATTAGTGTCACTTTAGTACTTCAGATCCTGCAGCGGTCGTTGCAGGTGAAGTATGTGTGTATGTTACTAAGTTAAACTTAGAAACAGAACCTCATCCAGTTTTTATGATGTATTTTTGCAAACTACTGTAAATAGCAAATCAATGCCAATGTCAAAGAGGAGAGCGTCATGCGGACTTGGTTCTCCTGCACCAGTATTTCAGGAACGCCAGCTTGCCGGCTCCGCGGCTCTTAAAAACCTACTGTGAGTGTAGCGGTGCCTGTCCCTCCACTCCTCTCTCAGTCAGAATGCGGGAACCACCGAGTTGGGCTTGGACTGAGGAAAACTCATCTTCATTATGTTGCAAGAAATCACAGATGTTTTGAGAAACAATTTTTGTTAAACCAGATAGTGAACTTCAGCCACTATGGGGAGATATTTTCCTATTCATTGTTTTCATTTAATGCTAAATTTACTTTATATTTTAAAAATAATTTTAAGAACACTCCAGAGGCTTCTGAAAATACCAGTTTAGTTATGAATTATGTATTGTCTGGGAATTTGATGGTTATTGTTTTAGATAATTGGGATTTTATGCTGTGGTCAACGTGCCGTTGCACTAGGATTGCACAGTGTCCTTGATCATCCACTCCGTCACAGGAGGACTGAGGGCGGTGCCACCAACGAGAGTACAATTCTCACTGTTTGGAGAGTGTTATTGACATACTGTGTATGCATATTAGCCACATGTACTATATAACCTAGAATTAAAGTATTGGGATTGCTGTAAATATTTTAAAAACTGAACGTGCCTTTTACCTGTTTATTAGAAGATTTTGAGAAGGTTTAAATTATTTCAAGAGCAATCTTTTAAATTTCATTTGACATAAAGCTGTAAATTCAGTAATAGGACAAAAACTTTTTAACCAGGCTACCATTTCATGAAACGTGTTCATTCTGGCTTTCACGTGCATCAGGTTTTATTCTTTGAACTGTAGCAATAAAACCCTCTGCTCCTAAGAAGTCTTAAGAGGGTATTCTCTGTATTCTGCGTTGTTTTATTTTCTGTAAATTTTGTAGGTAAATATGTGCATAAAAATAAAGACTTTATATATAATCGGTGATTGGACTTTTTCCTTGGTTTATTGTAACTCAATACAGGCTAGCTCCAAATGAGATTTTTTTTTTTTTTTTAATATTTTATTGATTTTTTACAGAGAGGAAGGGAGAGAGATAGAGAGTTAGAAACATCGATGAGAGAGAAACATCCATCAGCTGCCTCCTGCACATCTCCCACTGGGGATGTGCCCGCAACCCAGGTACATGCCCTTGACCGGAATCGAACCTGAGACCTTTCGGTCCGCAGGCCGACGCTCTATCCACTGAGCCAAACCGGTTTCGGCCCAAATGAGATATTTTATTTTAATCCTGTCAGTAGAGCAAATTTCCAGTAGCACTTGTACATACCCCGTTTATTCAGCTATAACTTTGTCTTCCTCATTGTCTAATAACATTTGGCTCTTAATCAGGAAGTGCAGGTTTTCTCAAACTTGCATTTCCAGCTTCCTGCAAGAGGATAAGTTGGACGTAGATAATAGTGTGGTAAAGGCCTGGGGAGCGAGTGGAAGGAGAAAGATGGGGGTCAGTGGGGAGAAAAGGAGATATCTGTAATACTTTCAACAGTAACGATTAAAAAGAGGAACTTGTTAGGTCCTTAGATCTTTCTGGAGTTATCAGCTTCTTTGAGTATTTTGATTAAAGCCGTGCAACTTCTCCCCTAGAAGGATAGGCTGTGTCCATGCACACACTTTGCATGCATTTGGAGAGGATTTCCCAGGCTTCCTGGCACCAGCCTCCTTGGAGTCTCCAAGAAAGAAACTTTTGTAAGAGGTTTTTCACACCTTTACTTCTAGCAGAACAATTCGTTTTCCAAGCAAACCTTGACTCTGGTTGAAATAGGCCCAAGGGTTGTTGCCAAATTAGTTTCTCCTCGCCACTGCCCTCACCCTCATACCTGCTTCCACACTACCAGGTAGGTGTTAGTGGAGGCTAGTCCTCTGATTTTACAGGCGGGCAGACAGCCTCAGGTTTTCAAAGTGACTTTAGATCCCAATGACTTCATAAAGACAGAGGCAGCACCAGAACCCACGTCTCTGGACTCAGCTTGAAAGGATGTGTGAGTGTGTGCGTGGGTGTTGGGACTTAATTCATGAGCTATTACAATGTTATGGTTAGGAACAGGGGCTACGCCAGGCTGGATTTGAATCTCAGATCTGCACCTTGCAACTTTCCTCATTTCTCCTGGGTAAATAAAATGCAGGGTGGGGCAAAAGGAAGTTTGCAGTTGTGAGCACGCAAAACAGTTTATTCTTGGTATTATTATTTATTGTTGTATTATTTTCCATACAAATGACTGTAAACCTGCTTTTGCCCAACCCTGTGTAGGGTTGGTCAGTCTCCCAGGTTTATATAGAGTATTAAACATGTTAATTCATGTAAAGCACTTGGCTACAAAGTCACTGCTTAGTAAATCTGTTAAATCCTAAAAGTGAAAAAAAAAAGATCCCACTGTTACAACCTTACCCAATGTCAATATCTCAGTTGAAATCAACATGAGGGAATTCAGTCTATATTTGAACTAAGCAAACTTCTGAATAATGGATTAAATGCAAGAGAAAGGATATTTGGCCTCTAAGGTAGTGCTTATTATGTGCCAGTCTCTGTTCTTAGCACCTTTAACACTAACACTTAATCCTATGACAACTGCATTAGGTATATTTTATTATGTCTCCATTTCACTGATGAGGAAACTGAGGCAGGAAGATGAAGGAACTTCTTAAAAGAGTCCATTCTGAAATATTAGCTGGGATTTGTCTATGTCAGGAGTTGTGCTAGGCACCAGGGACACTAAATCCTGGTTTTTTGAGCACCTCCTGTACCTTAGGCTTAGTGTTAGGTGCTTCACATAATTTCATTTAAGCCTCACAATAACCTTGCTAGTTAGGTATCCTTAATCCCATTTGATTATTATGGAAATTAAATTTGATAATTTGGCGAGGTTCAGTCGCAATAAACCGCACCAGCTGGTGGGAGGTGCATCCCGTATTACCATTCAAATCCAGCCTCCTTCCCAGGAAATCCCACGGGACCCCGCCCCTCAGCCAGGCCCGGCCCCGCCCACCCCCTCTACGCCTGCGCGCTCCTCGCGCCAGCCCCTCCTCCCTCGCGACGCGACGCGCGCCTGCGCAGTGCTTTCCATGTGGGCGTCGGCTGTCCGCCCGCTACAGGTGAGCCGCCGCGCGAACCGCCGCCTCGCCAGGCCCTGCC